GGTAGTGTATTTTTAATTTCCCTGAATGCATCACCTGTGTTTAACCTCAGTCCAGCAAATTCCTCTTCCTGCCATTCCAGTTTAACTTCCTGTGGGATGTGGCCGATTCAGATTCCACCTTGTGAACTAAAAGGAAACCTGAATTTTGCACAACCCTGACGTAGGCACAATTTAGATTTGTCTGTGAAACTAAAGCAACATGAAGCATTTAAGCACAGTCCTGTGGATGAAAAGGCTTCTCATGCTTTGTTTCCATGTAAAAGTAAACGCTACTCCACTAGAAGGACTTTGTATTGTCAGCGTCTCTATCGACTTTAACCGAATAGCCCATTTGATCTTTATTGCAGGTCCATCTCGCTGAAAAGCTAAAGGAATCAATGCGTCCACATCCGAGAGAATATAATAGAGGTTCACCTGCCTTTGTGCTGAAACCCTTAACCTGACAACAGCAGAGAGCCTCCATTTCACAGGCTGAGGTTTGAACTATGGCTCTCTGGCAGGGTGCGGGGCCCGGGGCCCAGGGCCCGAACTCATCAGCGCCGTGGCAGCCGTCTACGAAGCGAAGATGAAATGAAGAAGGTAATGGGGGAAGCAAATGGCTGTGAATTCTCCTCTGAATGTGACTCCCGCGGCGCCCCTCCGACTCAATTTTCACGCCGCTTGGCTGCAGAATAAAAGCAGCAGTCCCTGCATCCACCTGCTCAAATCCCCTACACAAATACAGCCGACTGTCTTCGCCTTCCCTTTCAGCTGCTTTGCAAAAAAGCCCCGCTTGTATTATTGACTGACAGGTTGAATAAAGGTATTAGATGTCATTGCATTTTAATAATTGTTTATATCAGGGTTGCGAGCGTTATTTGGAGGGCGGTGTGTGGCCGAGAAGCCGTCCATAAGTGGGTTTTCTATTCCTCTTCCTCTTGACATTTTAAACATTTGAAATCACATTTGAGGGAAATAAAAAACGTGCAGGGCATCTTAAGCACCACGCTGGCGTATTTCGTGTGATGGGTTTTTCGCCACACAACTTATTACGAGGCTCATTCGCTTGCCTACCAGGCTGTTTCTTTGTACACCAGCAATGGAAAAAATGGATTTAGACAAAACTGACAACAAACACCAGAGTGTTCATTTGGTCTAATTGGTGTCTTATCCCAGAAAATACTGTTATTGCTCAGAGATTTTTTTTTATTATGTTTTTGGTAACCAAGATGTCCTTGTCTGAACCACACTCTAAAAAAAAAAGAAGTAAAGATAGGGCACAATATATTGTATAATTTGAAGGAATTTTTCCAATATTTTACCAATATTTTGAATTTTACACTTCATTGCATTATATCTCAGACTCAGAGTAAACAGAAATGTCCGTAAAATGAATGGATAATGTTTTTTTCTGTTATTTTACGGATTTATTTTTTACAGTGCAGGATGGAAATTCTCCTTAAATGCCTTACAAAAAATTAACACAGACACCAATGATACATAAAGCAGTGCTATTTTCATATTATTTACAAACTATTATAGTTTTTATTCGTATTTTGAATACATTTTTTAAATATACTTTCCATTTTTATTTTAATTATAGTTAAAGGTTTAGTAATTGTTATGTTTTTTAGTTGTGCATTTTTATTAGTTATTGTTTATATATTTATTCATTTTTATTTTTAAGTTTTAGTTATTTTAGTACATCAAGTTAAATTAAATGAAAATGAGAAATGTTGCATTGGCACTAAATAAAAATGAATACAATATTTATAAAGTAATAAGGGGTTGTTGTTTTTTTTTACTTCAGTTACCATTTACTTTATTTCAAAAAATTATTATTATTATTATTTTTTTTATCCATTAAATTATTATAGCGCTATAAAATGAAACTGAATAGCACATAATTTTTTTGGGGAGGAATTTGATCACAAATGTTTCATATTGAAATTTCTGTTTTGATTGCAGGTTCTTCAAATCTGAAAATTTTGAAGATCTCGTTTGAAACTAGAAGAGATGGATGTGATTTGAGCTAAATCTGAGAAGTGGAAGACTTCTGCAAAAGTCTAGGTGACAAAATTGATTTTCCTATTTTGTATGATTAGAGCAGTCAATTAAGTTAATAACGTAGCTTGCTTGGTGCTTCGTCTTCTACGTAGTCGCAACATCTGGCTCCTGTCACAATATCACCACAACATCTTAAGATAGATTGATGGGTCAAATCTCTAAAATAGACGTAGCAGTTCACACGATGCCTTGCGAACGAAAGCAATGGTGCAGGTTGGCCATGGACACATAAATTTGATTAAGGCGATTAACAAATGTGCAGTCTAATGTTTCCACCCGCGTGGCGTCAGGGAATATTAAGCCAGCCGAGGCAGTCTTGCATGAGGAAGTTTATTGTCTTCGCCTTGTAGATTCCTCCCCCTCCTTTAAAGTGCTTTGCAACTCCTCCTTTATGAATAGCAATATATTTGCAATAATAGAGTAGAGGCAGCGTGGAGAAATGAAGCGTAGTGGGGGAAGTGTGAGATATGGGCCAATACTGCTAAACATAACAGAGTTCTCGTATGCGGTGCTCGCTGCAGTGCACATATTCACCCATCTTGCCAAACTCAAGGACATATAGAGCAATCGCATAGCTAGGCTGTTCTATTATAGTTCTTACCGTAAAAGCGCTGGAAAACTATAATTTCAGATGTCAGTCATCTGGAACGTTGATTTGGCCCAGGTAATTTGCACTAACATGGTCGCACGCCGGGGTTTCAGAGGTGATCTCAACAATGTCTCAAACTGTGCTCAGGTTTGCAATCAAATGTCGAAAGGTTTCACTTTAAACACTTTTCATCAAATTCTACTGTAATATCCACAAAACAATGTTCTGTAGTCTTACTCTTGTCTAATGGTGTTGTTGTGTCTATTTTTCTTTTGTGGAGAAACATCTAAGACTTTGATACTTGCACAAAGCAATAATTCAGTTTCTGAATTTGAATAGAGTATTGTGGAAACAGGATGTAGAATTGCAATTCACATTTGAATGTAAGGAAGTAAAATTTAAATGAATTGAAATGAAAAGAAAATCAGTTTATCGGTCATTTTAACTAGAAAAGAAAGGTTTGTCAACACAAACTTTGAATGTTGGCTTGAAAGCCTTGCTTGAATGTTTAGGGGAAAGGATAGATAGAAAAATGTTTAAAAATCAATGGAGTTTGAGGGTTTATAACAACGTAGATAATAGATGAATGGATGGATGATAGATAGATGATAGATAGATAGATAGATAGATAGATAGAAGAACATAGAACATAGGATACATTGAACAATGGATGGATGGATGGATGGATGGATGGGATAGATAGAAAAAAAGTTTAAAAACCATTGAAATTTGAGGGTTTATATCAATCTAGATAGATAGATAGATATCGATCCATCCATAGATAGATAGATATATAGATAGATAGATATCCATCCATCCATCCATCGATAGATAGATAGATAGATAGATAGATAGATAGATAGATAGATATCCATCCATCCATCCATCCATAGATAGATAGATAGATAGATAGATAGAAGATAGGATACATAGAACAATGGATGGATGGATGGATGGGATAGATAGAAAAAAAGTTTAAAAACCATTGAAGTTTGAGGGTTTATATCAATCTAGATCAGTGTTTCCCAACCTTTTTTTAGTCGCGGCACCCTTTGGAAATAAATGAATGAGAAGGCAGCATTACCAGAGTTGCCCATATACCACACCATGTTAGAACACAGTAGGGCTATTGCAGACAGAAACAATACTGTACTACATCGATGTTTCCTGTCG